TAGACATATCGGTCCATGGATACACGCATTGTCTGTTGGTTTTGTCAAAGTTAATGCCATAAACTTCATAGAGCGAGCTGACGTGTGTTTCTCGAATGGCGAACTATTTGAGCTTCAAGTATGTTCGATACTAACGCAGCGAAATTAAAGACAAACTTCAAAAGGAATATATCTGCGTCAGCAGGTTCATAACATTGTTCATTGGTTCGAATCAGCCTGATGTTTAAGAGGGTCCGCAGAGAGTATAATAGATATTAAGAGGTATTTGGAGGTAGGCAGTAGGAGCTTCCGCCCCCCCCCCCCTTATCCTGATAAATAAATTGAAATTTCAAATAATTACTAACTGAAATAAAACTTTTGTTGACTTTTAATTGAAATAACAACGCATAATTCAATTTAACAGTACAAAAAAAATATCGCGGGAAACGTTACATCACTCTTGACTCTCTTGAAAGCGGATACATTTTTCTCCTTTCACTATAGATTTCCGTGGAGAGGGTCAATTACAGAGTCTAAGGATGTATGGTTTAAGAGACTAATCCCAGATATCGATGAATGGCTTCTGCGGGATCGCAGAATTGAAACGGACTTCCTTATGACACACACAACTCCTTACTGGACACGGCAATTTCAAGTATTACATTCACAGGTTTAAGATTGCGCAGAGCCCAAGCTGTGTTTTTGTGCTGGGGACGTGAGGGATGACGCTCATCACACGTTCTTTGCCTGTGACCGTTTTATTAGGCTGCGACTCGAGACCACTGCAGACCTCGGTGAAGACCTTAAGGCAGAAAACTTCCAGCGCATCGCCCTTAGTAGGCCCTCCAGCCTGGAATAGATCAGGGATGTGCTGTGCATCAAGTCTCTCGTCCTCTCGGGACTAGAGTCAGGGCAAACCCCTGGTGTATAAACTTAAACTTCAGATGTATTAATTAGCAATTACTGCTCGGGCTGTAAGTCCAAAATCGCTTTCACTCTTGCTTGTGGGTTGGGAGGGGAGCCCCCGATGTTACGCTTAGTTTGCAATTCCGGTGTCTCCCCCCCTCTTTCTTCCTATCCTTGCCATCCCGTAACCACATGGTTTATCACTGCTGTAAATTTAATAGATTAGACTTAATAGAACGTAATAGAATTAACAGTTGTTAATTGAAATTCAATTCATGCCAATAAAGGATTTCCAAAATAAAATAAAATAAAATAAATAAAAAGTCTTACTTAACGCGGTTCTGGACAAGCCCCGCCCCCCTCTCCCATCCTATCAATTCATCTGTAACGCAGATTCAGATCCTCTATCGCCTTAGATGGTTACGTATATTTATGATCGGCCTCCTCACAACTTTTGACACAAAACCCCGGATGTACCATTGTGCGTAAAATAACGCCGTATAAGCTTTGCAACAATGCTAAATCTTCCCTGAAATAAAGTGTAATTTCTTGTAAAAGTATACATATTTTTATTTTTTTTAAATTAACAGTATGAGAATATTGCAATGAAATATATTTAGACCGGTTTCAGCAGAAAGGAACCAAGCCACAAGAGCTATTGTCAAATTCAGCCCAGCGATTCATTTTTTTACAAGAGAACGTTTGTGCGGTTTTCTGAGAATATTTTCAGGAATTCCCTTTGTACTGTGTAGAAAATTCACTGAAATTTGCACAAAAAAATCCGAACAACCGGTTTCATGTACAAAGAGAATTGCCCGATCAAATTTGACAAAAGCTTATGTAGCTTGGTTTCTTTCTGTTAAAGGCGGTCCAAATCTCTCCTAATATACAGTGGATTTTTTTAAAAAACTGTGCATATTTTTCCATTTTTTAAATGCAAAGTTTCAGAATATTTCAATGAAAAATATTTATAACTTTTTTCAAAAACACATACTTCATCAGAGGACATTTGGCAACATCTGTTCCGAATTTTTAAGGCGTTTTTCCTTAGGACGGGAGTATAGGTCCTCGAGCGGAAGCCACGACTTGATGGCGGTCTGAAGAAGGTCCTTCGGGGACGGCGATCGTAGCGGAAAAATGAGTGCCAGGATCGGGAAAAGGATCTCACCGGGTCGGAGGAATAATTATTTGTGAGTGATTGATGGGGTGGAAAGAAGACAAAAGGTAGAGGGCGTCGGGCGGAAAGATACGGTTTCGGTGCTTACGCTGCAACAAGATCGTTAGCATCATCCCGAGATGCGCAGCCGACCTCCGTCAGGAGTCACCGTCTCGGATGGGGAGTTTTTTCAAGCCAGCGGCTCCGTCTTGGAGCGTGCCCTCCTCACAGCTTCAGCTTGGCATTTTTGAATACGCCATTTTCCAAGGACGACGCGGGGCGAGTGGCGGGGGTCCGGGGGGCAAAGCGGCAAAGCCCCCTGGCTAACTGTTGAGTTGCGCGTATAGGCCAGTGGTTATCACACTTAAAAATCGTATTGTATTAGAGTGACTTATGGTGCCTATCAATGGCCAAAGTGAGACCTCTGTATGTGACGCTGTTTACTTCCTGGCATACTTTATTATGTCTTCGAAAAACTAGTTCATATAATTGCTTGTAAACTTCTTCGATTTTTTTCTATTGTGCGATAGCAAAATATTTTTTTATAAATTTCAATCTTTAAGTATGGCTCGTGTTCGACGTCATGACCAAACAACTTGTTTGGTATGGTCATGTCAATAGGATGACGGAAGAGAGGCTGCCAAAAAAGATGCTTGATTGGGTTCCTCCTGGGAGGAGGCGTAGGGGACGCCCAGTGAGAGGTTGGCGACAGGGGGTGTTAAGTGAGATGAGGGAGTGTCAACTCCCTGATAACCTGTGGGAAGACCGAGCTTTGTGGCGATTAGGTGTCGCAAAGCGCCAAAGAGCGCTATAACAGCGACTCGTATGTATGTAAGTATGGCTCGTTCTTCTTTGAATAAATAAAATAGAAACTGAGATTTTGAAGCAGCGCAATGCAGATGTAAGGTTTTCTACTTTGACCATCGTTCTATGACAGTTAAGTTTTTTGGTTAAAGGTGATTCAATGAGATGTAGAGACGAGGCCCGTTTGCAGCGATATGCGTTTCTTATCTTTGAGGAGCAATTACTATGGCAATGCATAAATTAATGCAAGAAGCTGAACCCTTACGTGCAGCAGCATCAATACTGAGCAGAATGACATCAGAAAGAAGATTCGTCAAAAATTCATATCAGTAACCACCATAATGGACGTGGCTCATCGACTCAGTATGAGAGAGATAGCGTTATACGAAAAAATTGAGTGGGCGATAAAACTTTTCGCACAATATTGCTTAAAATTTTCAGGGAATTTTATTCTTAATTTGGTTTAGTTTATCAACACATTTTAAAGAAAAAGAGTCATGCGTTTTCTTATTAAAGCATGTTCAAAAATGTTATCCGCATCATGTTTATAGCATGTCCATCCGAATCCAGGGTGGCAAAATTTCATGAAAAATGTCATCTTGTAATTTCACGTGAAATATCTCATGAAATCTCAGAAATTTGTGAAAGATATTGAAAAATACCGGTTCCTCTATATGTTTTGCAGAATGTAAAAATTGTGACTTTTTTCTTTTTGTGTGTGTTTTAGTGCGGGTTGTATACTATACATATAGCCCCTGAAAAAAATGACGTACTTCACAGCCTCCTGAAATTGCATGAAATATTTCACTGAAATTTCCAATCTTGCATGTCTTTCTAACGTTTCATTCCACCCTGTTCAAATTTTGGAAGCGTTCCAATGATCATGTGACGTTTTCCCTTAGTGCAGCAGAGTGGCTGCATGGTCACATACTCTCTGTAAAATCGAATTCTTACAAGGGACGGTGGATTACGGTGGCTACACATCAGCTACATAAGATAAAACGCCCGACTGAAACACGTAAAACGATACAAAAACAAAGAGAGGCAACCGGCGGGACGGAAGAGAGGCGACCGGCGGGACGGAAGAGAGGTATGCACCGGAAGAGTTTCAGTGGGTCAACCGGAAGAGTCCCGGGTGCGCTCCAGGACAAGTTGACTGGGCCGAGTCCCGAAACTTGTGACTCATGTTGCAAAGTTTAGTCCATCATCACAGTCATTAGAAAATACCGCTTAATTTATTTTTCTTTTTTAATTGGAATGAAATCAAGTGTAGAGTGAAATGCGTGCTGAAACCCTACCTTCATTTTCAAATGAGTGATCAATTAAATTGTGCTAGATTTGAAAATTTTCATATTTGACTCACTTCAACAGATACATTCCTTAAAATCAATTAAAAAGAGATTCTTCACTCCAGACAAAGAGACGGTTTTTGCAATATTTTGAAAATGTAAAAAAAAAAAAAAAAAAAAAAAAAAAAAAAAATTATAAATGTGAGCTGTTTCGCTTCCAGTGGAGACTTTCTAAATGGTTAGATTATAAATTTCACTTGTTTTCCGTCAAAAATTTTAAACTAATGGCTTCAGTACCTCAATCCCAGCATAATCCATTCAACGTTGTTTCGAAAGGCGTAATTTGATTACATTTTGTAATAAGGAACCACTATCTCTGGCTTTCCCATAAAAGCGCGTACCTGCATAGGGAAACCAATGGCATGTATGCTGTTTCTAAAATGGGATAGAAATAGTGAATCTTTATTGCAAAATATAATCCAATTCATTTTCCATTGGGCGTGAGGAATAATGTTTAGATTGTGCACATAGTTGTGTATCTCTCGTGTACAACAGACCTACAAAATCAAGCATGGACATCAAGGTGCCGCAGCCCTATTTAGCAAGAGCCTCATAACTGCATAACATTTCCATCGGAATTACGCGCTTTTTCTCTGACGGCTCAGATTTGTCATGCGTGTTGCTTGACGAAGGAACACGGCGCGGAGCGGAGGAGCGAAACAGTAGAGGCGAGCGTTCTGTCTGAAGCTCTTCATTGGCGGGCCAACCCTCCTATGTTTCGGTCGTAGACATCCACCCCCACGTTTACGTTCCTTTGCTTGCGGTAAGCTCACGTGTCCTGATACCCCCCCCCCCCCCCCCCCCCCCCTCCCCCTCGCCACCGGTTAACAACGTTTGCATATTATCAGTGACCCTCGTTCAAACGATTAAAGAGTGAAATCGAACCATTGCGTCTGACGGATGTGAAAAAGTGCCCCATTTCTACGTGTTGTTTGTTAGATGTTGTAAAACTTTCTCTCGGCAATTTTTGCAATCATGGAGAGTGCATAAGTTTAAGTGTGTTTGACTGAGTTTAGGGACTGACATTTCATGATTGGTAGTGATTTTTCCTCCAATGTAATAGAATGGGCGCTTTCGCGAACAAATTGTCGTTTTGGTTTGATAGAAATCAGGCCAAATCCGATTAACATTCCACCTTTCACTTTCGTGGCGTGAGTTTTGGAAATGTCTTTGGTTTTTCTAGATTTTTAATAGGACCCGGGGCTTTAACAAAGACCGACAATTGTATTAAATAATCGCGGTTCGTCAATACGACAGTAATGTTCAACGTGTCATAATTTCGCGTAAAAGTGCGAGAGTAAAATAGGTATTAGATTACAAATTTTCGATCATGAATCAGAGATTTCCAAGTCATGTCCAGCTCATTCAATGCAAGCTCTTTTTTTGAAAGTGAGACCACGGTCATTACAAGACTTAGAGAGTTCTGTCATTTGACAATTTCTAACAAATGACCACTATTTAAGAACTCTTTTATGATACCAACATTTTTGAAAGATCAAAATTCGATATTTTACATTGCATGAAATTATCTAACTCTCGCAATTTCTTATCAAAATACAATTTTTGTAGAATGTATCTGTAAGTTTGTGCCTTTAGAGTGAAACCACCGGCTCAATGTGCTTTGTGATTTAAATATCGAGCTCAGTTCTGTCTCAACCGTTTGTGTTGATAAAATCCTTAAGGCAGAATTTCAAACTTATTTTGGACGGATAAGCAATAAAATAGTCGACTTGCTTGCAAATGGGCTGTAATGAGGACTCATTGCTAAAATATACCAAATAAGTATCGTCGTGTGTGTAAATGGAGATCTGACAATGGTGTGCATATCATCGACACTCTGTGCTGCGGTCCTCGTTTGGATTGGAATCGGTAGAGGTAAGACATATTTCATGATAATATTCTGTCACCCACACCGTTGGGAAAATATTATTTTTGTGTTGCTTGTCAATTACAGCGTGAGAGGGAAAAAGAGGAGTTAAGGAGCCCACCTATTTTTGTAGTGATACTTTCAGAATTTTATCGTTCGCATTGTTGTTTCAAAAGAAAACCTTCCGACATTTTTTTAATGCAATTTTTGTATATTTCAATTTGCCAGAGAATACTTTCTGTTCGATCATCATAGTTTCCTTTGAAGGAACGACTTCCAAAAGAACTTAATTGTATATGATTTAGTTGGTTACCTTAAAACTTTATTTGCTACCTTAAAAACAGTTAAACATTTTCTATTACAATTTTCGTGTAAATTTTCTTCGTGAATTAATAACAGGTTTCCAAAATAGGTATTCTAGACGAACCGAAACGCTTTTCCAAAAATATAAGAATATTTAAGATAAATTAAATGTTATAACTTCTCCATGCACTCTGGCCCCTTAGGCTCTCACCTTTTTATTTAAGTACCAAATAAATGATAATCGGATTAAGATGAATTAAAAAATTGTATTGAATTTAACCTAAGGTATTAGGGATGCACTCTCAAGATTTCACTGCAGGGTGTGCTTGAGTTTTTTTTTTCTTTTTTTCTTTTTATAAATAAACCAAAATAGGTAATTAATCAAAGTATATCATAATATTGCAATTTAGTGAGAGTGGCTCTGTTTACATACTTCTCATTGACAGTATGTTTCAAAAACCGCGCCCTCCTATCATGCCTTTAGTGTAAAAGGTACTTTCGGGGGTCAACGCCTACATGCGCAAAGTGATGACTGATGACCAAAGAGTTGAGCGAATGATTTAGCATTTCTAATTTAATTTGCAAAAACTTGTGTAGCAATATGCTCACCCACCCATTCATCAACCATAATTAGGCGAATTTTATTTGATTTTTGCTCATGAGGCTCCCCTTCGACCCTTATTTGGACGTATTTCTGCCAAACGGAACTATGTGCATTATGACGTGAGCCCTGTTATACTCAAGGGACTCGGGGCTCATGCCTTAATGCACATAGCTCCGTTTGGGAGAAATACATCCATTTGGCGAATCATATCATCGAATGCCGAATTTGACTTTTGCCTCACTCCATTACATTGATTGGATTGTCAGTATGAGGTCTCTAAAATATATTGTCCCTGCTACTCTGTAACTTATTTTCTATGATGATTTCAATATGCTCCCACAAAGTTTTGACGAGACAACATATGTCTCGTTGAAGTTTAATGGGTCAGTTGCGCTGGTCACAGAATCGTGTTTTGAAGCTTGATTCTTGTAGATTATTTAAAAATAATAAGACTTGTCCAAATCACACCTTTCTACGTTTAATATTAATCGAGATATCACCCTTTGAAAAGTCGGGTTTTTTACGTCATCCACCGCGGTAGTGACATCCTTGGTTTCTTCAACCTAGCTTTCATCAGTCGATGTGACGCAATTTGCACTGGTCGTTTAACGTTAAACTCGGATGAAATCAAGAGGTGGAAGAAACGAAGGGTGTCACTACCGCGTTGGATGACGTTAAAAACCCGACTTTTCAAAGGGCGATATCTCGGTTAATATTGAACGTTGAAAGTTGCGGTTTGGACAGCTCTTATTATTTTTAAATAATCTACAAGAATCAAGCTTCAAAACATGATTCTGTAACCAACGCAAGAGACCCATTCTTACGGTGCGTAATTGTTTATTCCACCATATGGCCAGGAGACGGGGTGGTTTTTTCATATCGTCACCTTCCGGCCAAAGCATCACAAGCGCCATGCGACGTTTCAAAATTTACGCCGCCATATCATTTTTTTAAAGAGAAATTGTTCAACGAAGCTGTCCGAAATTTTCACTGAATTTTACTTGAGGGGCTTGAACGGCAAGGCGCAAAAGTGCAGTTTATGACATTTCAAGAAATAAGTGTTTAAGTTTCAAAATTATATGGAGCCTCATGGCAGAGACGAATTTCAAACTACTTTTTTGATGCTTCAAGGTTCGATTTTACTTGTGTATTTTTCACAGAATATACTTTTCAAACAATTTTTAGTTGAGTTCATGAATATCTCATTTTTTAAAAAACTACACTTATGCGCCTTGTCCTCCAAGCCCTTCATTTGTGCTGCCGATAAAATTCAGTGAAATTTCCAACCAGATTCAAGCAACTAAAAGTAAAAGGGCGGCGGAAATTTTGGAAGTTGGTATGTCACTTATGATGCTTTATTGGCCGGAAGGTGAGAATACGTACTTTCGTTTGGATCATCAATCTGGCATCGAGGGGGCAGTATGCGGCGTCGAATCACCAGCGAAGGAAAGTTTGAGCTTTGTGAAAATATTTTGATTCGAACGCGGCACCTCGTCTAGCTCAGACCCAGCGTTGGTTCATTAGTGTTAACTTTTCATGGTACTCAATCGAAACTTTCCGCCAGTTTGATCGGCCCTGTCGCATTGGGTTCCAGCCATCTTTTCTCATTGTAAATCAGACAGCAAGAAATAGATTTGCGATCGTCCACGAAAAAGGAACCTCAGTGATGGAAATTTCAAATTTCAGAGACGTATACCTACCACTCTTCAGAAGAACGTTTCACGAACAACATTCAAATATTCCAACCCACCTCGTCATAGAGGTTATCAGCACCTTTTCTGAAAAGTTACGCAAAGCTTTTCTCAAAAGGAGAGCCACTTTTAAACGTTTAAAAAAATTTGGAAATCTATTTTTACATCTATGTCGATTATTTAGACAAACTTTCATTGTTTGCACTTTCACGAATAAAAATTCATACATATTTCGTCACCTTCCGACCAAAGTATCACAAGCACCAAGCGACGTTTCAAAATTGCCGCCATTTTATTTTTTTACAGAGAAACTGATGATTGAATCTGTTTGAAAATTTCACTGAATTTCATCGGCAGCACGAATAAAATTCCGTGAAATGTTCGGACAACGTCATTGAAAAATTGATCTGTAAAAAAATAAAAAGACGGCGGAAATTTTGTCACGGCAAGAAATTCTTAGATAGCTAATTTATTGTCTTTGAATTTTGAATCTGGGATATAGTAGTGAAAATTATAATTGACGAATAGAAGTAACACAGTAACACTGAAAATTATGTCGCAAATTATATTATTTTTTTTAAAGCTTTTTATAGTGAAATGAAGCTTTTATAAACATGTTCAACTGTAACATCTATGTTAACATCCGTTAGATGTATTATATTTTTGTATATTGAAACTTTCCTGAGTGACTCTGCTGCCAGAAGTGCAAGAACCCCTCTCGTTAATCAATGAGGCGGAATTTTTGTTGATAATTTTCATCAATTTTTTTTTTTTTTTTTTTTTTTTTTTTTTTTTTTTTTTTTTTTTTTTTTATTTACGCGGTTTGCGAGACATTTTGTGATTTCAGACCCAATTCCTCCTTCCCTCTTTAACGCACCCATCTCACAAACTTAAATCCTTTCCTCCTCCAGAGCTTAACGTAATTAATGGGCGGCCCCCAAGGAAAAAACAACTTTTCCTTAATACTTGAGACAAATAAAACATCCCTCGTAAGAGACACCGCGGCCACGACAATTTTGTCAACAGCCGAGCGGGGCTAAAAACTAACTTGTTCATTCAACCTCGGTGCCGCACAGGGGTAGGAGAAGCAGCCACTTCAAAATCCGACCACCGATATAGTCAATTCCACTCCATGCGTTTTCCTCTTCTGTCCCCCCCCCCCCCCCCCCCC